TTTTGGTAAAAAAAAAAAAAAAATCGTTCAAATTATTTTTTATTCACATATTTCGTAGGATTCATAAGTACAATTCATTTCTTCACCATTCATTTATTCTTTTTATAAATACCCGAGTTTATAAACGCATTGCCGACATACACTTAATATCACGATAAAGTAATTTGAGTCTAAATTTGTCACATTATTAGACAAAAATGATATACAAATTTTTCTATTACTTAATTATTATTTTTTTATCATCTCTTTTATTGGAAACAAAATATTTTGTTAAGATTTAAACATTCAATTAACTAATTTGAGATTTAATCTATGATTATAGATAGTACATATTATAATTAGACCATTATATTCATAATTATACTATAACTCTTTATTTATAATTGATTAGTACCATAATTATATTATACCGTATTACATAAGAGGCTGGGTGGAATCGGAAAAAAAACTTTACTTTTCCTATCCAACCATGTATCACGGTCCACTCACTTTGAGACAATTAAGGGTATGTTTGGTATGATTTTTGCTTTTGCTTTCGCTTTCTGCAGAAAAAAGTCATATTATATCAGTTTTCCTATAAAAATTCTTCTAACTATCAAAAGTACTTTTACAAGATTAGCCAAACGGGCCAAAAAGCAATTTTTGGATTTCAAAAGTTTTTTTTTACTTTTCAAAAATCATGTCAAACGGACCCTAATACAACTTCAGAACCGCATTCGAGCGACTCTCTTAAGACTAATTTTCCTAAACTATATTATTTTTTCTTGTTTTATTGTTTTATTTTATTGCTAATTCATTGTGCCGTTAAATCAAATTCATAAACTTAAGGTAATTAGTTATTACAATCAATTAATAATAGTTAATTCTATTTAATTAGAAACTAATTAAGAACTTACAATCGATCGATTTATTTTCTTAAAATCACATCATCCCAAGAATGAATTCTTGCACGGATAGTCCTATAGAGAAATCAGTCTGTTTTGTGTGGATGTTACAATTTCCAAAATAAATACCGAATTTTTTAACGGTGTTATATGTTTCATTCTCATGTCTACAGAGAATTGCCATCAATGGTTAAGGGTTGTGACCATTGCAATTCAACAATACTTGCCAACCACCACAAATTATTTGTTTTTCACCTTGTGTGTTCACACATGCCCATTGCCCACGCACTATTTACTCCAAACTTTATGTGCATGCATTAACCTTATAAGTACTGTAAAATCGGGATCTAGGAAAAAAATTCCGATTTCTTTTCAATTTTCTTTACATCTGTCTTTCAATGGCTCTTCAATGGCTAAGCATGGTAGGTGCCATATGGTTGCAATCCATTAATGGAACAAACTCAAATTTTCCTGCTTATTCATCCGAGCTGAAGCGTATGCTCTCCATAACACAGCCTCAGCTTAATAATCTGGCTGCAGCCTCCGATGCCGGGAAACTTCTTGGCTGGTTATCCGGAACGGCAGCGGCGCATTTGCCTCTTTGGATAGTGCTCCTAATTGGTGCAACTCTTGGCCTAATTGGTTATGGAATACAGTATCTTTTTCTCATAAATCAAATCTCGTCTCTTTCTTACTGGCATGTTTTTCTACTAACTGTTTTAGCAGGGAACAGCATTTGTTGGATCAACACAGTTTGTTACATAGTTTCGATAAAAAATTTCTCCCTTGATCGACAGATTGCTACAGGTTTATCCACTAGTTATATAGGTTTTAGTGCAAAAATTTATGCAGATATAGTGGATGCTGTAGCTCCAAATTCACCTTCAGAAAGAGCCAAATTGTTTCTTCTTTTAAATTCTGTTGTTCCCTTAGGAGTTTGTATTCTAGCAGCACCACTGGCTAGAGATGTTCATGTTGGAAAATCAAGAAAATTAGCAGGAGGGTACATTTGTATGTTTGCAATAACAGTAATTACAGGAATTTATGCTGTGATCACCAGTTTAGGCCAGAAAATTTTAAGATTCTTACATCCTTCGACAAATGTTATTGGCGTGGTCGTGTTCTTAATCCTGCCCCTTGCCGTTCCTTTGTCTGAAAAGATTAGAGAAACCCTGCAACAAAAATGTCTGATAAGAGTACACGATGAAGGTGCTTCTGCTACATCAATGGAAAATGGGGCAAACGTGGAAGATGGAGAGAATTTAAGCAAGTTCTGTGAAGAAAGTGTAGAGGAAATTGGAGTGAAGTTGATGCTAAGGAGAGTGGAATTTTGGTTATATTTCTTTGCTTATTTGTTTGGTGCAACAGTTGGTTTAGTTTATCTAAATAATCTGGGACAAATTGCCGAGTCCCGGGGATGTTCTGGGACGTTGGCTCTCGTCTCCTTGTCTTCAGCATTCAGCTTCTTCGGCCGGCTCATTCCATCATTTCATGATTACTTTTTCGCGAAGTAAGTAATTCGCCTACTTCGACTATTTATGTTATGTCTACTCTACTATACGTCATTCTGACATCCAGCTCAAATTCACCGTTTCTAAAATGTACCCAATTTTCATAAACACACGAGGTACGGCAATAACTAATTTGATTGTCTTAGTCTATTTGTTGTTTTAATGCAAACCTTTGAGTAGTGCTATGTTAGTTGATGAATTTATGGAGCCAATTAATGTGTACAGCATCCCTCTGTTTCAAGTTTCTTGGTCAATACGACAGATTTTATTATTGAACCGTCACTAAGCGTACTTTTTTGTGTCGATATTTTTGCAGGAGCAAGTATATGATATCTAGACCTGCAGCCATGGCATGCATGATAATGCCGATGTGTGGAGCTATGTTTTTACTCGTTAACAAGCAGGACATTTGGCTCTACATTAGTACAGCCATTATAGGCATTTGTACTGGAGCAATTACCACAATTTCTGTCTCCACAACCACCCAACTATTTGGAACCAAAAATTTTGGAGTAAATCACAACATTTTAGTCTCCAATATACCAATAGGATCTTTCCTTTTTGGTGACGTTGCAGCCCTGCTTTACAATAGAGCCAAGCTTTCAGGTGAAGACAATTGCATTGGTCAGAAATGCTATCAAACCACTTTCATTATCTGGGGATTATTGTGTTTTCTTGGAGCTTTTCTGGGTTTTATCCTTCATTATCGAACAAAAAAAGTTGTAATCACGTAGATTATAATGAATTAGTATAGTATAGTGATGTACTCAGACCTCAGTATAGTATCACGGTCCAAAGAAAGACGAGAACTGCACACCCTACCGAAAACAAGAGGGATCTTTCATGGGACCGGCTGGAAATGCATTTAATGTACTTGAATGAATGTAAACGTTAACTGCATCAATGCAATGAATGACTAGTATATGCCACACATTTGTTAATTTGTGTACGAAATAATTTAACGTATTGACGTTCTTTGGAGAGTAGGCGGTGGCCAATTTTTTGCGTTTGATGTGACATTTTTTTCTGGCCTAAATCAAAGTCGCTGAGGTAGATATTAGTCAATAATTTTCAAAAAGGGAGGTGGTGTTTGCACATGCTACACGACACTTTAACAAATTCGCCTAATAAAATTGAGATATAAGTGAGCAATGTTCAAAATTTCGGTGTTTGGGAAATTTTTTTTACCTGGTCAAACATCTTCCTTAACGTTTCTTCGATCCCACGATTTTATACATTTCTTATCGCATATTACTTGAGATTCACTGCTTAGAAGCACTTAAAAGCATAGATAACCAAGAACTAAGTCATCTTTCCGCGCCCCAACACAATGCCTTTCAAGAATCTATCCATAAATTAAATTTCAAATCAAAGTTAACAATTAATTTTAACTACACATTTCTGAGATTCGTAACTTTTCAACCACATATTTCATCAACTTTTATCGAAATCAAATGAAAAATTGATTTTTTATCTAAACCAAAACATGGCATAATATCATTAACTCCGGGGGATGGTATGCCCATTCTTAGGATGAAATATACTCGTGTATTTTCAATTCGAGACCATTCTTTATCATCCAGATTTCTGCAGAGATAAATAAAGGATAAGAGTGGATGATTTTGTGCAAAAGTTCCTTTTTTTTTTTTTTTAACTTATGCAAAGTGTAAAAGAAAACCTTTTATAGATCAACAAAACACAAGGTACTATAATAAGGATAGCAATGAATTAAGGGATTGATATGCAGCAATTATTAATACAAGTTGGTTCTTTGGTAGCAGTTGACATTATGGCAACAACTTTAACAAATGCTGAACTTTTATATTTGCTATTTTATTCCTTAAATATGATATGCAAATAAGTCTTTTCGTGTTTTCTGATCGAATTTTTGGATGAAAATTGTCATTGCAGATACGACGTGCTAATTAATTAAAGGTTGATGATAAGAATACATCAACAAAGTTGGAGATAAAAATTGCGGCTAGTGACCTTCATTATAATTAAAATGTGGCAAAGTAGAATTTTTTTTGGGTACGAATATAATTACCCTTTATCTTTTCTTCTTTGAGTGATTATATTCACACCACATTTTTTGTGAAGTGTGTCATATATTAATTGCAATAAAGGTCCTCATGCTCATTTGTGTACGTATGTCTTCAATTTTTCATTGTATTATTATTATCTATTATACATTAACAAATCTTATCACTAGAAACGATTTTGATCAAAAATCCGTTAAAAAGACATAAAAGACACTCATATTTTTAAATAAGTAAAATAAGAGAAATAGAAAAGTTCGAAAGATACATATTATTATTTGTTTCAAAGCACGTTAGTAGATTATTTTGAAAGAAAGGTAATTGGTACATAACGTCCTCACATTTTATTGTTATTGTGAAAAACGTTCATACATTTCATTTTTTTGACATTTTCACCTTTATTTTTACCTTTCATTGTACAAAATGTCATTTTCACCTATTTTCTCAATTAAAAATTATGAAATGACGAATATACCATCTATTTAAATAAAACAAAAAGAAAAGGAAAAAATTAATTGCAACAACAGACCCAATTTTTTTTAAAAATACAAATAAATCACAAATAAATTATTAAAAGGGTAATTAATACATAATGTCCATCTTTTACCATTATTGCAAAAAAAAACGTTCATATCTTTCATTTTTTATTATTTTTTCCCCTTAATTACATAATTGATTGCTCAAATCATCATTTCCATCAATTTTCATCCAATTTCTCAATAATAAGTTATGAAATAACGAATACACCTTCATATTTAAATAAAAAGCTCATTGCAATCATGGTCTCAATTTGTTTTTTAAAAAAGTGCAAACAAGTTCCAATAAATCATTAATATTTTTTTTAAAAAATGTGAAAGCGAGTCTTAATTAAATTTATTTAAAAATTAGAAAAAATTAAAAAATGCAAACGAGTCTCAAATAAATCATTAAAGAATTAGAAATTAAAAAAAAAAACTATTTAAATAAGAGGGTATATTCATTATATTACAGTTCTTTATTGAAAATTTGGATGAAAATGGATGGAAATGATGACTTGCACAATCAAATGTGTAATTAAGGGTGGAAATGCAAAAAAAAAAAAAAAGATTTTTTCACAATAATGGTGAAAGATGGGGGTATTATGTACTAATTACCCTTTTAATAAATTATTTGTGACTTGTTAGTGCTTTTTTTTTTAAAAAAATTGAGACTGTAATTGCAATTAATTTTTTTCTCTTTCTTTTTGTTTTATTTAAAAAGAGTGGTATATTTTGCGCAATGAAATGTGAAAATAAGGTTGAAAATGCAAGAAAATAAAAGTATGAACGTTTTCTATAATAACAATGAAAGTTGAAGACGTTACGTGCTAATTACCCCCAAAATTATATATGAATAAATAATAGTCAAAATGTTTTAAAATAACTCACTTTTCAAGATGAAAATATTTTAATTAAACATCCATCCTGGAATTCAAAAATATATATACACATATAGAAATAGTAAAAAATATTTATAAATAAATCA